TTAAGGGTCATTCTTTTGGTGTCATAGCTATGAAATCTATACCTAATTAGAGATCACAAATATTTTTACCTATATTTGCTTGTAGAAATTGTATACTTTAGATGTTTTTATTTAGGTCTACAATCCACTTTGAGCTAATTTTTATATACAGTGCCAATTATAAATTGAGGCTTTTTGTTTACATTTATATGTCAAATTGTTCCAGCACCATTTGTTAAAAAGACTATCTTTATTGAATTGTATTTGCACATTTTCAAAAATTATATATATATATATGGATCTATTTCTAGTCCATTTTGTCTCATTGATCTATGTGTCTCTGTTTTTACCAATACCATACTCTCTTGATTACTGTGGCTTGATCCTAAGTCTTGAAATCAAGTGGTGTGAACCCTCTAAATGTTTCCTTTTAAAAACTGTTTTTATTATTCTAGTTATTTGTGTTTTCATACCAATTTTAGAATCAACCTATCAATTTCTACTGGAAAGGGAAGCCTTCTGTTATTCTGATTGGGACTGCATTGAATCTATGTAAGTTAATTTGTAGAGAATCGACATTTTAACAATAAAAATATGATAAACATGGTCTTCTGATCCATGTTTATCATATTTTTCTTCTTTTACTTAAGTATTTCATTTTCTTCAGTAATGTTCTGTCAATGAAAAGAGTCAAACTCTGGCAAACTATGCATCTGACAAAGGACTAGTATCCAGAATCTACAAGGAATGCAAACAAATCAGCAAGAAAAAAACAATCCCATCAAAAAGTGGGCAAAGGACATGAATAAACGTTTCTCAAAAGAAAATATACGAACAGCCAACACACACGAAAAAATGTTCAACATCACTAATCATCAGAGAAATGCAAATTAAAACCGCAATGAGGTACCACCTTACTCCTGTAAGAATGGCCATTATAAAAAAGTAAAAAAACAATAGATGTTGGCCTGGATGTGAGGAAAAGGGAACACTTTTACACTGCTACTGGAAATGTAAACTAGTACAACCACTATGGAAAACAGTATAGAGATTCCTTAAGGAACTAAAAGTAGAACTACCATTCAATCCAGCAATCCCACTAATAAATATCTACCCAAAGGAAAGTAAGTCATTACATAAAAAACACATACGCACATATAGCAGCACAATAAGACATGGAACCAACCTGATGATAGTGCCCATCAGCCAACAAGTGGATAAAGAAAATGTGGTGTATGTACACCATAAAATACTATTCAGCTATAAAAAGGAACAAGATAATGTTTTCTGCAGCAACTTGTATGGAGCTGGAGGCTATTATTCTAACTGAAGTAACACAGGAATGGAAAAGCAAACATTGTATGTTCTCACCTACAAGTAGGAGCTAAGCTATGAGGATGCAAAGGCATAAGAGTGACACAATGGGCTTTGGGGACTCAGAGGGGAAAGTTGGGAGAGGGGTGAGGAATAAAAGACTACATACAGTGTACACTACTCAGGTGACGGGTGCGCTAAAATCTCAGAAATCACAGCTAAAGAATGAATCCATGTAACCAAAAACCACCTATACCCCAAAAACTTGCAATAAAAAAAGCAGTCAAACTCTGTAAAATAGTTGAAGGGATTTATTCTGAGCCAAATATGAGTGACCATGGCCTGTGACACAGCCTTTGGGAGACCCTGAGAACATATGCTCAAGGTGGTTGGGGAGCAGCTTGGTTTCATACATTTTAGGGAGACATGAGACTTCAAATACACTTAAGATACAGATTGAATCACTGCTTTGGTCCAGAAAGGCAAGACAACTTGAAGTGGGGCAGGGGTTCCAGGTTACAGGTAGATTTAAATTTTTCTGATTGGCAATTGGTTGAAAGAGTTATTATCAATAGAAAGGAATGTCTGGGTTAAGATAAG